TAAACGACGGGCTGTAGCCCGGTGGGAAGCCCGACAATACTTTTTGGATTGAATTTGGATTTTTCTCTTTTCGCGCCGTGCCCGCGCGCGCATTCTGCGACGAGCAAAAGCAATCGACTTGCTTCATTGGACCAACACGGGGGATTTCAGTTCCATCTGTGTCCCCACACTCAATTTCCAAAAATCCTTGGCACACCCCATCTTGCCGTTTTTCTGGGCCTCTTTCCGCACGCCTAACACTCCGAACGAAAGACAGCACAGGGCGTGAGGTTGCGCGTCACATGAGCGCGGGTAACTGCCCGTGCTCGAACCTTGCATCGATCCACCATAGCGACCTTCCTCCTTTTCCGGTCGCAAACAAAGATGGGCTTTACTGTGACACAGATGTACGGAGGGCACTATTGCGGACCGATCGGGTTCACTTCTACAACCCGGCCAAGGTGTGTCATGTAGGGGGTGGATCCACCATAGTGCCTTGTGCTGCCACCAGGGATGATCTGTTCTGGTCAATTCCTAGGCCAGGAGCCTCCGGGGGGAGGATTCTTGCGAAGATAGCGGCCAGAGCGGACCTTGGACATGACCCCCTGTGGCAACAATTGCTGAAAGGATGGCACAGACTCCCCCTCCCTGACAGGCCATCCCCCTCCTGCTGGGAGGAGGTGGCGAGGCAACCCCTTTTTGGGAACAGGGTGATCACTGATCGACACGGATGTGTCTTCCCAGGCTCAGAGGCACCCTGGTCCACCTGGGTAAAGAACGGGGTGCTCAGAGTGGGCAGCCTGTGGGATCGGGAGGCGAAGGATTGGAAAACAGAAGGTGCCCTCAGGAGGACCCTGCCACATGCCAGAAGATTTGGGAGTGGCTAGAGGAGATAGTCTTCTCCATCCCTCTCTCCAGGGTACAAGCCCTTCATCGAGGCCCCCTGCTGCAGGAAAGTGGTTGGGTCGCGTTCGCAGAGATGCCGGGATTGGTGGGAAATGTCGTTGAAACCAGACCGGAAGAGCTCCTGGTCAACCTTTTTCTGTAGGGATGTGCAAAACAGATTGCTCCGCCTCCAAAGGATGTGGGTCCACAGGAATAGGGTCTACCGGTTCCGGGCGCTCAAAATTAAAGAGGCCTGGGCTGCATACAAACCTGAGCTACCAATCGAAGTGCGGCCCCTGGACCCCATAGAAGGGAGGTGGTGAGTCAACTCCCGTTCACCTCAACCCAAATTCGTGTACCTCCACTCCCTGGGTCTAAAAGCCACCTATCGCCTCCTGATACCCAAGCTAAACCTGAGGGACAGATTCCGGGATCGCCAAGATGACATCGTTGCAATGGCAGATTGCCCACCACTGCTTGCCCACAAAGGCCTGGCTCATCGACCACTCCCATGTTGAACAAAAAGGGATCGCCCTCCCTTAGTGCCCTGTGTGCGCAGAAGACTTCCCCTCGCGAAAGGCAAACTAGACCATCGCGCATGTATTCCTCCAGTGTCCCAAAGCAATGCTAACCTGGCGACGGGCCCGAGGATGGCAGCAGCTGTGTAAGGACTGCGCTCTCTGCTGTGCGGACACTGGGGGGCCCACCTTGACACTTTTATAAGAAACTTTTTTGACCTGGGCAGAAAGTTGGTGCTGTGGGACTTCTGGCGGCGTTGCTGTACCCTGGCCATAGACGGAGTGCACATT